TCCCACCCTGAGTGTTGTGGGCTCGGGGTCCGTCCCGGGACAGCACGGGGGGTGGGGGAGCACCTCATTATTTGTAAGATGCAACAGTCTAGCGTTTGAATATATTTAAAGCTTTTTTGAATGTAAGGCATCGAAGTTGGATGGAGGAGTTCAAGTTCTATTTCTTTTTTCCGTCCCCAAAGAAGCCCTTGGCAGTAGATCCCCATATCCCTTCTAGAAACGCTCTCCGCGTGTCAGTGGGATGCCTGCATCCGTCAGCCGTGGCCGCACCACAGACCGCCCAGAGCTCAGTGCCGGAGAAGACGGCTGCGAGTCTGCTTGGGATCATGTCCCTGGGCCAGCCACTCCCGGACTCGGTCACGCAGCCGTGGTCAGCAGGCCGCCTGGGACCCAGGAGGCTCCCGCACCCTGGTCCCAGCCCTCAGCTGGGGGCGGCCTGCCTCTCCACGCGGGGTCTCCAGTCTCTGGGCGCCGGGGGCTCCAGGCTTGTAGAGGGCAGAATCGGAGGCCACCGGCCTTCCCTGCGCCCCACAGTTCCTTCCGGGGCACAGAGTCTCTTGTGGCTGCAGAGAACCGGCCGTCCTCACCTGGCCCCGGGAGCCTTTCTTCCTGTTCAGAGAGAGGATTTGCAAGTGTGACTCATGAGCATCCTGGTGGGCCGAGGCTGCCCAGGGCTGAGGGTTGGCACTGCCCCCCAGGGTTCCCAGCCTCCCCACACCCTCCCTGCGGGGCCCTGCTCTGGAGGCCTGTGCCACGGGAGGCCCCAGGCAGCCCGATGGTTCCAGCTGATCAGCTACGTGTGTGTGGCTGGGCCTCAGCACCACTTCGTGGCTTCTCGGGGCTGCTGGCCCTGCCTGCCTTGTCCTTGTGCTCTCTCGGTGGCTCTGAGTCATGCAGAGCCGGCACCCTTCCTGGGCAGGAGGGGCACAGCCCCTGCATGGAGCCGCTAGACCTCATGCCTGCCCACCTGCTGCCCGTGTCCGGCAGAGACTGCGCTCAGAGAGCTCTGAAGGTGTGTGTTGGGGGTGACTGAGCAGACCAGGTCTCCCTTTGGTGGGAGGTACATAACACAGAGGTACTGGGTGCTGCTGTGTGTCTGGGAGACAGAGAAGGCCAGGGAGGTGAGGAGAGTGACCTCAGAGGGGCTGTTTTGGGCGAAGTGGTTGGGGGACAGCTCGAAGGGGGGGTAACATTTGAGCCAGGTCTTGGATGAAGCAAGTTAGCAAACCCTACAAGTGTCTTGGGAGTGGTGTTTGGGGGAGGGGCAAACTGTGCAAAGGCCCTGGGGTAGGACACAGGCATGTCAGAGGAAGGGTGAGGAGGCCTGTATGGCTGGAGTAGAGTTGGGGAGAGGGAGGAGTGGAGGGCAGGGGAAGAGATGAGACAGGTCACACAGGGCTTGGGGACCCCAGGGAGGACTTGGTGTTTTGCCCCAGGGTGGTGGGAGCCCTAGAGGGTTGTGGGCAAGCGAGGGAGGGACCTGACTCGGGTGCTCACGGGTGCCCTCTTGTGGCCAGTGCAGGGAAGATGGCCTGGGGGCAAGGGCTGGACTGGAGACCAGGGGAGAGGAAAGGGTGTCTGTCTGTCCATCCATCTGTCAGTCAGTCAACAAACATTAGTAGGTACCTGCTCAGGGCAGGCCAAGCCCTGAGAGAGGAGGCCTCCTGCCGGGGGTTGGTGTCATTTTTGCCCGGAAGGACAGGACACGGTCTGCAGGGTAGGGCAGTGATCTGACGGTGGCGAGGGATGGTGGGCTAGGGAGAGGGGGCCCAGCTTGGGAGCCCTACCCTTGCTTACCCACGGGGGCACAGAAGAGACCAGAGGAAAGCTGCTCAGAGAGGTGGAGGGACTTGCTGACGTCGCACAGTGGTGGGCCCCGCAGGGGCTAGCTCAGGGGTTAGGGAGTGGGGGAAGCAGGGGGTCACCCCCTCACCCCGAACTCTCTGGGCCCTGGCCGCCTCCTGCCTTCCACCCGGTGGCTGGGAAGCCATGTCCTGGGGCAGGTCTTGGCCCAGCCTGGCACTCTCTCCCTCCCCAGGCTATTTTTAAAACTTAATTTCCTCAAAATGGGGTGGCTCATTCGGAAGAGAATGGGTCTTGTCTCGGGCTGGGAGGAGCTCGACGTTGTCTGCCGTGCCTGGCCTGGCTGGTGGGAGCACGGGGCTGGGCCACGGGGCTTCCCCAGCCCACCTGCCCAGAGCAGACCTCTGAAGGTGCACAAAACCCTCGAGGGCTCGGGGGTGTTGGAGGGAGCAGCGGGGGTGCTTGCAGGCATCAGGCTGTGGTGGGGCACACGGACCCCCACCCCGACCCTAGGCCGGCGTGTAGCCTTGCCATGGTCCCTGCTGGTGTGGGTCCTGGACACCCCAGGTGGGAGGGCGCGTCTCTCCCTTGCCAGAATGTGGATCGGGCAGGAGGAGTGTGGCCGTCGTGGGGCCCCTGGGTATGAAGCAGGTGACCCTGAGGCATCCCCAGGTGAGGCCAACCCAGGCAGGACTTCATGGTGTGGCCTGGACGTGCAGGGGAGTCGCCAGGCCGCCCCAACAAGCTGGGAGAACTCAGGGGCAGGTGGAGTCGTTTGGGGGGGGCCTGGACTGCCAGGGCAGAGAGCCCCAGGGTCAAGGGCTGGGGGCCGCAGAGGTCACAGGTGGGCACGGTTGGGTGGGCTCCAGGGCTCAGAGGCCCCAGGCTGGCCAGGAAGGGGAGGGGACTGCAGGGGCCCCCAAGCCATGTCCAGAATGTTCTGCGTGCTCTACCTCTGGCCTCATTCCTTCTCTCTTCCTCCTCCCCCCACACCCTAGATGTAAAACCAACAAATAACAAGTCCACTTTCTAGCACCTTCCGCGGCCTGCTTGTCTTTGGCCAAGCCTCAGGATGGGCCCAGGTTCATTCCTGAGTCCAGGGCGCCCAGGCTGGGAAGTCCCACACCCACACTGGCCTGCGGATGGGCGCTTGGGACCTTGGGCAAGTGACCAGCCTTGGTCTGTCGGCTTCGACCTCTGGCTAGGGTGGCCCCTGGTGGCCCCTGGGACCGTGACCCTGGCATCGGCCAGTCACCCACCCAGCCTGTTCCTCTGGACCATCGCCGGCATCTGGGTGAGGCCCAGGGCAGTGGTAGTTATGGCTGAAAGAGGACACCCGTCCCCCACCCTGCCTGCCCCAGGCTTACCCCAGGTTGAGGGTCCTCTTGGGTTCATTTTTTCCATAAGTATCATTCATAAACCATAATTCATACTTTTAAGCTTACAGTTTAGTTTTTAGTGTATTCACAATGAGGTGCAGCTGACCACACTGATTCTAGAACATTCTCATCCCCCAAAGGAAACCCCGTTCCCATCAGCAGTCACTCCCCTGTCCCCAGCCTCTGGCCCGACCTGGTGTTAGAAGTGGAGTGGGCCCCTCCTGTGCTGGGCTGAGACCTGCCCCTGGGTGCCTCACCCAGTGTCCACGCGGGGTCCTCAGGCCTCGTCCCTCCCCACCGGCTCCACTCCCTGCCAGCCTCGTCCACCCCCTACTGGCGGGATGACGCCCCGCCTTGTGTCCAGCCTGGCCCTGCCCTGAGCTCTGGACTTGGGGGTCGGGCTGGTCCCGGAGGTCTCACACAGCTCAGCCGCGGGCACCTGACCGTCCCCACACCTGCTCCCGTCTCTACGCTCGTCTCACTGAGGCCGCCCTGCCCTGTTCATCGCTTCAGAGCCGTGGGGTTCTGGGCTCGCTGGTTTCTTCACTTTGCCTCCAGTGAGCAGAGCCCGTCCGCCCTAGCTTCCCGCCTGCCGGAATCTGCCCACCCCTCTCTCTTCTGCCTCCACCTGGCCCAGCCCATCGTCTCCCACCCGGACCAGAACCGCCAGAACCTTCCCTCCACCCTGGTTCCCCGCTTCTGCCTTTGCCCTCCGCCCCCAACCCCGCCCTGTCCATCTTCCCCGCAGCGGCCACCAGAGGGCGCCCGCGAGCAGTTGAGGCAGGTCCTTCCCTTCTCTGGCCACAGCCCTCCAGGGCTCCCGCCTTCCTGGCGGAAAGGCCCAAATCCTCCCTTGGCGACCTGACCCCTCCTCCCAAGTCATCCTCCTGGCTCTCGCTCCGCCGTCTAGGCCCTTCTCCCGTCCCCTCTCTGACTGGGAGCCCTTGAGGGTGTCTGTCCTGGTTGCCCCCTACCTTCCTGCCAGCCTGACCCATGGTAGACCCCGAGTGTTACAAGCGTCTGTTCCAGCTGTGACAGATCAGCACAGCTGGGTCTGGAACCACACACGCTGACTAGCACACCCTAGAGGTCGCAGCCTCAAATGGTCTCACAGGCTGAAACCCTGGCGCGGGCAGGGCTGGTCCCCCCCCCCCCCCCCGCCCCGGGGTTCCAGGGAGACCCGGCTCCTACCTCCTCCAGGCCCACGCCCCCCCCACATCCTCCCTGCCGGCTGCGTGGGGTCTGCCGGTCCCTGGGACCCCCACCCTCTGCCTCCCTCTCGTGAGGACACCAGACCCCCTGGGAACCCTTGCCCCCCCCGCCCCGCACAAAGCCCGTTATCTGTGGGGAGCGGCCATCCGCACTCCTTGAACAGATAGTCCTCAGCAGAAGCCCGCATGCCCAGCGAGGACACTAAGGCTCAGAGAGGTCAGTGGGGGGCCTCGTGGGGGGCCGGGATGGGAGGGAAGGGTCCGGAGAGACAAACGTGCCCGCACCCTCACTGTGAGCCTCTCCCGTGGCGAGCAGCTCTGCCCCGGGACTGTGTGGGCAGGAACTGACCCCATGGGTTACCTGATATCCCCGCGGCCTGAGTGCGGAGCTCCCACCCGCGGTGTAGACAGCAGTGTGTCGGTTCAGCCAGTCGCTTGCCGCTGGGGACCTGATGTCTTCGGGGTCGGTGCCCACTTCCCGCCTTGCGTCCACACGTCCCTCTGTAGGGGCGCGGGGAGCAGAGCGAGGCCGTGGGCACCTGCGTGCAGCGAAGGCAGGGCAGGCTGCCCCTTCTCCGGGCTGAAGCCCCTCCCTTCTCTCCCGCAGGCTTGGCCCAGAAGAAGGTGGCCCCCACGGAGGTGAGTGTGCTGTGGCTCTGGGCAGTTCACTGGGCCTCCCTGGGCCCCTCCCTCAGTCCGGCCGGCATCTTGAGTTTCAGGGAGGGGAGCGGGTGGGACCTGGCCCAGACAGCCAGGGACAGAGGGACAGGAGACCCGGGGCGGAGAGGTAGGAAGGAAGCGGGACAAGTGTGTGCCCTGGGCTGCCCTCGCTCGGGGGTAGCGTGGGTGGGGGTCAGCACTGTCCCTGGTGCTGAAAGGAGCCTGTGGGAGCGTGTCTGAGTCCCGCGTTCCTGGAGCCGCCCAGGTGTGGCACGCCGGGGCCCTAGCCCTCCATGTCCCCTAGATAGCACCTGGCACGTGGGGTCCTTGTGGGGAGGTCTTTCCTGGAGGGAGCCGCTACAGGGCAGTGGGGAGCCGGTGAGGGTGTGCGCCTTCCCATCGCTGAGGAGAGCCCACCCCCTGGTGGCCGGTGTGCGGAACACAGGCGGTGGAGCTGAGGGGTGAAGGTGGGGGAGGGGGCATTAGTGGGGCTGCCCAGACCCTGGCGTGGGGCAGCCGGGCTGTGTGGGGGCTGTGTGGGTCGGGCGGGTCTGAGCACTGTCAGCTGGAGGCCGGACAGGCAGCATGGGCCCCGTGGATGGCGGCAGGTGCAGGGGGGATGTCAACGTCTGTGACAGTCCAGCCTCTGGACTGGAGGGGCACCAGCTCCCTCTGCTGGCCAGCCCGGGCCTTGAGCCTGGGCCCCTGCCACCCCTCTCTGGGGAGTCGCTCACACACAGCCTCGTCATGCCTGCCATGGCTGTCCCCGTGTAGAAGGCCCAGGCCAGTGGGACCTCTCCCCGCAATTCACAGTCATTCCAGCCCAGGGGTCTCAGCCCTAGGGGACACTGTGATGTCTGGGGACATCTGTGGTTGTTGGGATGGGGAAGGCTGCCCTGAGGGGTGGGGCCGTCAGGATTGACCCGGCCCAGAGCCAGCAGTGCCGGGAGCCCCTGAAGCCAGGCTGCTGCCCCCATGCACGCGGAAGGGCTGGGGTTGCCGATCTTCCTGCTTTTCTCGAGGAGCTGGAAGTTGCCGGTCTGGGTGTGGGCCCTTCTGGATGTGCAGGGTTGGGCGGTGTGGCCCCTGCTGGTGACAGCCCGCCCACAGCAGCCTCTGCACCACATGCCTGGTGAGGACACTGACTCAGCCCGTCTGGTCAGGATTTCCAGGGTACACTGGCCTGGTGGCGCCTCCTTTGCTGATTTCCTGCTTCCTCTTCCCCAGGCCCCACTGATGACTGGACAGCCGGGTCCTGGCCACGGGAAGAAGCTGGGTCATCGGGGTGTGGATGCCTCTGGTGAAACCACCTATAAGAAGGTTCCCCTCTGCCCTCAGCTGGTTGGGGGGGACTCCCAGCCGTCCCGGGGACCCCACACAGGGTCAGGGATGCTCCGTGCCCGTGTCCGGGTCCGGCTGGAGGCAGATGCTCTCAGAACAGGCCCCTCCACGCAGGCCCCTGGTCCCGGTGAGGTCCTTGCTGCCTGTCACGGATATCACAGGCGTCGCCGGCAGCCCTGTCCGAGCCCCCGGCCCCTCTGGGCCTCCCGGCTTGTCTGGGGAAGGGGGAAATGTAGTTCTTCCTTCCCCCGGAAAGCGAGGCTGAGCTGATGGGAAGCTCGTGTGAGGCCAGGCCAGGCGGGGCCCGGGGAGCACTCCTAACGGAGCAGCCGGCCGAGAGGTCATGAGGGCAGCATGAAGTTTGATGGTTTCTAGCGTGTTCTCAGTGTGTCCAGCTGTCACCACAGTCAGTTCCAGAAGATTTCCAGGAGCCCAGATTCACACCCTGTCCCCATGACCTGTTGCTCCCTTCCCCTCCTTCCCAAGTCCGGGCCGACTTCAGCCCAGGCGCCTAGGCCACATAACGCCAGCAGCCCCGGATGGCCTGTACCGCCATCTCCACACCCAACTGTGGGTGGGGAAACTGAGGCACAGAGCAGCAGTGTTGCTGGCCCAGCGCAACGATGCTAATCACCGGGAGAGTGGGTATAAGGAACCCGGGTTGCAGACATGAAGTCTGGGTGTCATCGTGTACACTTATGTGCCCCCCCCCCAAGAAAATCCTGACAGTAGACCCCAGCTGAGTTGGAACAGTTTTGAGAAGTTGGAACCTTCTAGAACCTTGATGGGAAACAGGCCTTGGGGCCGCATGAGGTGGTATTGTAGTCTCAACCAGGCCACCTCCTTGCTGTGTGGTCGTGTGAGCTCAGGGACAGCCCAGAGGTCAGCGCGTCTGTGACACGTACTGGGCAGGGGCCCTGATCTCCTGCCCTGGGGTCTGTCACCCTGGGGGCCGTGGGTCTTGATGCAGTGAGGTTTTCCCGCAGACCACCTCGTCCACCCTGAAGGGAGCCATCCAGCTGGGCATCGGCTATACCGTGGGCAACCTGAGCTCCAAGCCGGAGCGCGACGTGCTCATGCAGGACTTCTACGTCGTGGAGAGCATCTTCTTCCCCAGGTAGGCCCTGGCCCCGTGCCGGGGAGCGACTGTCGGGTGCTCAGCAGCCCTGCTGCTCTCTGCGCTTCCTTCTCTGCGGGGAAGAGCTCGGGCCTCTCCTGCCGTCTTCTTGGCTTGGAGGTCAGACCCCGTATCAGTCATGCTCTAAGCTCTCTGCTGAATCAGAGAGATGCAGTGTAACAGCAATTTTAAGAAAACAGGAAAAGAAAACGTAAAGTTTCTTTTTCTCTCACATGAAGAACACTGCCGGGCGGTGCAGGGGTCTGAGGCGGCTCCCTGGTGTTGGGGTCCCCTGTCCCCTCTAGGGGCTCTTCCATTCTCACGTGCAGCTTTTCCAGCCAGTGTTGCCAGGTGTCTGCCTGGGATCCTGCCATCACACCTGCACTCCACCCACAGGAGGGAAAGGAGACTGGGAGCACAGGACCTCTGGGGCAGGACCTGGAAATGACATGTGTTGTTTCTGCCCCGCCCATGGCATTGGCTGAGCAGTCACAAGAGGCCGGCAGTGGACTTAGCACGGGAGGGAGTGGATACCGGGATGCTGCCGCAGACTGGCCATGCCCTTTGGCCCCAGGGGAGCTCTGTGCTGGTTGCTGGGTTGCACACTAGGGGAGGCCTCAGGCGCCGCCCTGGGCCCTGGCAGTGGGAGAGGTGCCCACAGCGTCCCTGTTCCTCACCAGCCTCCCTTCTTGCCCCACAGCGAAGGCAGCAACCTCACCCCCGCCCACCACTTCCAGGACTTCAGGTTCAAGACCTACGCCCCTGTTGCCTTCCGCTATTTCCGGGAGCTCTTCGGGATCCGACCTGACGATTACTTGGTGAGAGCCATGGTCAGCCCGCTACTGCCGTGCCACAAGTTCCAAGAGACACGTGTGTCTGTTACCTCGTGGTTTCCGTGGGTCGGGAATTTGGGTGCAGCTCTGCCGGGTCCTTTGCCCAGCGTGGTGGTGGAGGCTAGGCTGGGGCCGGAGACTCAGAGGGACCAGCCTGGGGGATGGTCAGCTTCCAAGCCCACATCTTGGGGGACCCTGTTCCTCGCCCACTGACCGGGGCCTGTTCCTCAGAGCATGAGCGACAGGACTGTCCTGTCACCCCGGCCACATCACAGGTCCTGCCTCCCTTTGAGGGGAGGTAGGTCGTGGGGACCAGCTCAGCGTGTGCCCCCGGTTCTGGTGTGGTTTCAGTCTCTTAGATTAGAAAAATGGAAACCTAGGCCCTACCCTTTGATCTCACAACGCACGAGTGGGGCTCCTGGAAGTTACAGGGCGTGTGTAGACGGGGATCAGTCTGCACTTCCGTTGTTCGGCGACTGTCTTCTGGAAGCCTCTGCCCCTGCACGGGAGCAGGGCCTTAGCTGCCTGGTCTGCTCCGCCCGGTGCCCCCACCATCTGCCGTCCCTGGGGCCGTGGTCTTGCTGATTCTCACCGGCGGTGACTTGTTTCCCTGTGTGCTAGGACGTCCTCGGCTGCGTGCTCCCACTGGGTTCTTGGTCCACGGGAACCTGTGCCCTCAGCCGTGACCGTGGGGGACCAGCCCTCATTCCAGCCAGGGGTTCTCTAGCTGTCCAGCTGTCCCTTGCCAAGGTCAAGGTCCAGTCCTCGGACCACAGCGTCCGTGGCAGGCTCCATGGCTTCCCCCTCGGACCTTGCCTGTGGTCCTGCAACCTTATCGGAGGGAGAACAGCCTGATGGTTCTAGAGTGGAAGCGACCCTAGATTTGGGGTCTCAGGGGCAGAGCAAAGGTCCACGGCATTAGTCGTGCCAGCGACGGGATGGCCCGGGGCCCGTTAGCGGCGTGCAGACACCAGCTGGCGGGTGCTGGCCCCAGAGTGGACACACAGAGGCAGCCGAGGTCCTGTCTTGGCCTCGAGTGGGTGCTCAGCAGATGTCCTCTGTCCTCTTTAAGACCTGCCCTGCTGCTGTGATGGAGTGATGAGGCCCCGTGGAACCGAGAGGCCCTCCCATGGTAGGGCTGGGGAGCTCGGACGCGGCTGGATCGTCCCTGCCTGTCAGCTTTGCCCCCTCGGGGTTCCTGTGTCTTCCCGAGGGGCCCCCAGGGCCACGGGCACTGCCTTGGCTCTAGAGACTTCTGGGGCCACCGCCGCCATGGGTCCTGAGTTTCGTGGGGGCGTGCCCACTGTCCCTGTTTGTGAGAGCCCTGTGCTGTCCCATGTTAGCTTTAGCTGGGGAAGGCGGGGGGGTCGGGGGAGGGGGCATGGGTAGTCAGTCAACCTTGGGCCCCAGGTGCCCCCCTGGGCTCTGAGGGAGAAGGGGGCACATCTGGGGTCATCTGCCTGCGAGCCCACCCTGGCGGTTGGTGACCTGGCTGGAAGGTCCATGTGTGTCACCCCGGCCACCTGGGCCGTGTGAGGCCTGACCCCATGCATGGACCAGGGACACTCCCTGAGGGCAGCTGCTCTTAGCCACGTGGTTCTAGAACATTCTCTGCTCCTAGACTTCTGTACAAAGTGCACAATCCCCTTCCACCACTCGTTTCTCTCCGCACTTCCCCTCTCCTGCTAGCTGGGGTCGGCTGCAGTGCCTTTGGGGTAGCTGTGGGCTCCAGAGGCCATGGACACCAGCCCCCGTGGGGTCCCTGCCCACCCCTCGCTGCCGTCCTAGGAGCAGGTGGGAGGTGAGGAGGGAGAGCACGGGCAGCCTGGGTGTGGGCTTCTGTGATTCCGTGGGTATTGGTGGCTTGTGGCTGTGGGTGGGCAGGACTTGAGGCCCCCCTGGGAGAGGGGGCATCCCTGCTTCTCAGCTGTGTCCTCCCCCTCCCTGCCATCTGCCAGCCCCCATGTTACACTTCACCAAGCAGTGACTGTGGCAGGCTGGCACCCTCCACCCAATAGGGGACATGCTGTGGCCTCTTCCGTGCTGTACACCGGTGGTACTCAGGCCTTGGGGGGGGGGCTCAAGGGATAGAAACACACCACAGAAACCTTAGTCCTGAAAAACTCTTCATGGACTCACTTGCTGGGAAGGCCCAGGGAGAGCAGCCTGTAGGACCTAGCCTTCCAGCTGGGCTGGACACTGTCCCGGGTGCTGGGGACCCTCCGTGATCAGAATCCTTAGAAATCCCTGTGTCCAAGAATGTCCTGCCAATGGGGAGGATGTGTGGGGCTGCTGGGCAGCAAACCCGGAGGTGAAGCAGATGTCCGTGGGAAGAGAGGTAGGGGTGCCAGGTGCCAGAGGGCTGCGCTCCGAGACACAGGTTCCTCTTTTCTCTGCTGTTCTGGTGTGTGGCCTCCGTACTCAAGGTCACCTTCTGAGCCAGCATGGCAACTGGGGTTCCAGCTCTCACATCAGCATTCCAGATGGAAATAGATGGGATGGAGGGAAGGGCACAAACCCGAGGTGCACCAGCTCTAGTCCCCCACTTAGGGGGCCTTCCCTGAAGCCCCTCCTGAGCCTGAGTCGACGGCTATGGCCTCACCCAGCTGTGGGGGAGGTTGGGGAGGGAGTGTTGGCCAGATGTGTCAGTCCCCCAACATACCCGGGAGTCTGTTGCTCACAGGAGAGGGACTGGGCCCTAGGAGATCAGCACCCAGGCTGCCAGTCAGCCTGGGGTTCGAATCTGTGCTGTGTGGCCTCCGGCACATCAGTCTCCCTCTCTGAGCCTATTTCTTCATCTGTAAAAGGAGGCTGACACAGGGACCTGTTCCAGAGTTGTCCACTAGCCGCTGGGCCCGTGGGGTGTCAGCGACCCACCTGCCTACTCCCTGCCCCCCCCAGTACTCGCTGTGCAATGAGCCACTGATCGAGCTGTCCAACCCTGGTGCCAGCGGCTCCTTGTTCTACGTCACCAGCGACGACGAGTTCATCATCAAGACAGTGATGCACAAGGAGGCCGAGTTCCTGCAGAAGCTGCTACCCGGCTACTATATGGTGAGCCGCCCTTCCCCCGCCGCACTCTGGCATGCGGGGCCAGCAGTCCCCGGGGAACGCCCACCCTCCTCCTCCGGTCGGGAAGCCTTGCTGGGCCACTGAGCCTCGCCCTCAGGACCCCCTCACGCAGCCCCCCCGGACATGGCAGGCAGGAATGGCCATCCAGGCCCGCGGGGTCTTCCCTAGAGCCAGGTGGGGTGCGGGGGGCTGGGGGCTGGGCACACGCTCCTCCCTCGCTCCCCAGGCCCCCCCCCCCCCGCCAGCAGCCCTGAGTCACGGATGCCAGAAATCTTGTCTCGTGGGGCTCGTGGAGCTGGTGACTCAGGCGTGGGGGAGGGGGGCCGGGCCACCAGCTGGCGTGTCACAAAGGCCCAGCTGCTGGGGCACGTCCCGTTCCCCATGTGACTCACAAGTTGGAAGGGCTCCACAGACCCCCCGGTGGAGGTGGGTGCGGGAGCCAGGGTCCTGCTGCTGGCACGGGTGGGCTCCGCCTGAGTGCCCACCTGCCCTGCTGGGCCTTCCCGGGCAGCTCTGCGTGGACTGTGCGCCATCTGCGCCTGGGGGTCTCATCTGGGGCACAAGACGCTGGGGTGGGCCCCTGGCTCCCCTAGGTCGGGGGTTGGCAGGCTTCCCGTAAAGAGCCAATCAGCCTCTCCCATCCCAGCTCCGCCCGCTGCTGCATCGGGAGGGCCCTCGAGGGCCTCAAGGGAGCAGACTGGGGTGGCCCGGCGCCCGTGACCTTCACTTACTGACACTGAAATGTGAGCTTCACGGAAACCTCACCTCCCAAGACACTAGTTTTCTGTTCTTCGCCCCCAGTGGTTTATAACACAAAGCCGTTAGCTTGCGGCCGGCAGCGGGAGAACGAGTCTGTGTTTGGACTTGGCCTTCCCCCCGGAGTTTGCCGATCCTTGCCCTGGATGGCGCCCAGAGGCCGGGCCCCCCTGTCACCCCAGGGCGGGCAAGTGGGACAGCTGGCCTGGCCCTGGCACCTCAGCCGGGGGCCCTCCTGGAGCCTCTCGTCTGGGGGACACACAGATCCCGGCACACGTCTAGATGCTGGGAGGGCTGAGGGAGGGGCTGGCCCGGGGCCCAGGTGGTCAGGGCGGGCTTCCTGGGGGCGACTCCCTGGCCACCGCAGCTCTCCTCAGACCCTGCCCCTCCCCCGTCCCCAGAACCTCAACCAGAACCCGAGGACGCTGCTGCCCAAGTTCTACGGGCTGTACTGCGTGCAGTCAGGTGGCAAGAACATCCGCGTGGTGGTCATGAACAACATCCTGCCGCGGGTCGTCAAGATGCACCTCAAGTTTGACCTCAAGGGCTCCACGTACAAGCGGCGGGCCAGCAAGAAGGAGAAGGAGAAAACCATTCCCACCTACAAGGACCTGGACTTCATCCAGGACATGCCTGAGGGGCTGCTGCTCGACGCCGACACCTTCTCCGCGCTCGTCAAGACGCTGCAGCGGGACTGCCTGGTGAGGCCATGGGGCTCGCCTGTGCAGGGGGTGGGGGCGCGGGAGCGGGCCCTCAGCCTCCGAGACTCCCTGGTTCCCTCCGGGACACGGGGACGCTGGATGAGCCGCCGCCGCGTGAGCACCTGTCGGCGGGTCCTTGTGGTCTCCTCCACCCCTGCAGCCTGGGGGCATCGTGCCTGCTGCTCTAGAGATGGGGGCATCCCGGGCCTTCCAGAGCCTTCTGTGGCGTCCCTGGCCCTCGGCCCATCACCGCTGGCCCCCAGGCCTGTTTGAAAACCGTGCCCAATCTCCCCAGACGACCCCCCAGACCTCTCCGGACCTGCTTCCCTGTGTCCAGGTGTCAGGGCCCTTGGGGCCAGGAGGGGTCCCGGGCTCCCCAGCTGTCTCCGGGCAGGCTGGAGCTCTGACAGGAGGAAGGAAATGCCCAGTCCCGACTCTGAGAGGTGGTCTGCCAGGTGCCCTCTGCCCTGGGCATGGCCCAGCCCCGGCCCCCTTGGTCTCCTCACCACGCATGAAACGGGGGTCAGGACAGGCCCTCATGTGGCTGTGGGACGGGGCGGGCACAGACCCAGACGCAGCTTGGGACCACACGGAGCCGGATGTGGGAAGGGGATGGGGAGCGTGACCTCCTGACCCCCCTCCGGCAGGTGCTAGAGAGCTTCAAGATCATGGACTATAGTCTACTCCTGGGCGTGCACAACATCGACCAGCAGGAGCGCGAGCGGCAGGCCGAGGGTGCCCAGAGCAGCGCGGACGAGAAGCGGCCGCTGGGCCAGAAGGCGCTCTACTCCACGGCCATGGAGTCCATCCAGGGCGGGGCCGCGCGGGGCGAGGCCATCGAGTCTGACGACACGTAGGTGGCACGGGGCTTGGCGGGGCGGGAGACGGGTGGGAGTTGGGGGATCTGGCCAGGAGGGTGAGACCATCTGCGGCCAGTTCCTGGTCTGCGCTGGGACCCCACGGGGGTCTCACGGGTGGATGCACAGACACCTGGCTGTGTGATGACCAGAGCCTTCCAGATGAATCTGCCAGTGGATGAGGCCATTGGCCGTCTGTAGGGGGACACGGGCCCCTCCACATACTGGATCCCCGAGCGGGTTCAAACACCACTGTCTGCAGCAGAGCTGGAAAGGTGTTGAAGAAGGTCGTGGCGCTGGGGACCAGGGTGCCAGGCCCAGAGCCCCTGGGACAACAGGCTGCTGTGATGGAGGACGAGGTCGTAGGCTCAGAGACAGCGGGCTGACCCGGTCCTGCTGCGGGGGCTCAAGGTTTGGTGGGGAGACAGACTCATGGGTGCCCCACCCACCCTCCTGGCACTGTGGACTGTGGGGGACTGCTGGGAACCAGTCCGGGGTGGGGGGCCTGAAGGGGGAGGGGGCCTCACCCCCCATCATCAGCTGGGGAAGCAGGGGTTCGGAGGCAGAAGCAGATGTCCTGGTGCACAGCCGGGGGGGGGGGGGGGGGGGGGGGG